TGTGCATTTTATGCTTACTCTGTGAGTATATACATATTAAGAAGATAAACTATCGAGCATACTTACCTGCCACGGATGCATTCACGATCAGAAACTTGAATGCTCCAGGTTGAGGCGTGGATTTAGTCCATTTTCGCCGAAAACGAATTTCGCCGAAAAGAAATTCGCCGAAAAAAATTTCGCCGATTCTATTTTCGCCGAAAGAATTTGGTCACCGAAAACAAATATAAGTTGAGTTTAATCACGAATACAACAATTCTACTGGGACAATTAATCGATTACATCAAGTCAGTTATGTCCCACTTGCGATGACTTCCATGTCAGTTAAATTGACTACCAAGTCAGTTGGTAGCCATCTGAGTTGGTAGCCAACTGAGTTGGTAGCCATCTGAGTTGGTAGCCAACTGAGTTGGTAGACATCTTACTTGATAACCAACTCAGATGATTGCCAAGTTGGTTATGTTCGGAAAATGAACAAATAATAGGCGCTTCACGTTTGGTAAAAGTTAAAGTGAATGTAGAAACAGAGCTTTACTTAGGTTCTTATGCATATGTGTTCATTTCATATATTCATATATTTATCTAGTATGTGAATACAAGAAGAAAATTAAAAAAAATATAGAGTGATCAATTCGAAACGAAAGTCATATTTAGCTTTCTTTTAAACGTTTATGTCTAATTGTAGTTGTAAGTTTAGTTGTATTTGTACGTCTTTTACTATTAATCGGTGCAAAGTCATTCCACATTGTTAATTGGGAAATTAAACGGTTTTGTTGTTTTATTTCATCATCGAATTGTTTTTGGGTTTCTCTAAAGACCAGCGTAAAATAAAAATACGATAGTTTGTGCAATAGATTTGTGTTGCGAAGTACCTTTTATCTGCAGATTGACAAAAGAAATCGATATGTTGAACATTCGCTATAGTATCTTGTGAAACAATTGATTGTTGAAAATCATTATCATCACTAAAAAAATATTAGAAACTCTTTCATCAAGAACACTGCTATTAAGCAGATAAAAGAAGCGAGTCGTTGTTAAGTAAACTTTGTAAAGTTTAATAAACATACCTATCCATTATAGAGCTTGTCAAAGTATCTTTGATTGGTGATTCCTCATCACATGATACAAGTTCAGAAGTTGTTGTTATATTTTCCTGATCATCTTGATTTGATTTTTCAGCTTCAAGTACAATATATTCGTTATTTCTATAAAGTCAAGATGTTATATTATAATATATTTGTATAATCAATCAGTCGAAGAAATAATTATTCTTACGATGATGTTGTAAAATCATAGTCTATTTCAACTAGATGCTTTTTTGATACGAAAACATGCTCTCTCAGCAACTTAACAACGTTCCTTACACGCTTTCGTGGAACATCATATAAATTTCGTAATTTATTCCATAGTGGAAGATAAGGAAAATATATTCCTTCAGTTTTTAAGTGCTCCAGAAAAGCTGTTGTTATTATGAAAATCTCTTTCTCCGTTGACAGAACTTCAACTGTTAATGCACCAGCAGCTACGAAAGAAAATCAAAATATTATGTTATATTCTATTTAAATACTGTCAAACAATTATACCAGCTTTTTGTCCTTTCTTTATCGTCGCCATTAGATGAATATTACCATTTCGACGTTCAGCATAGTAGATTTTGCCATATGATGATGGAGTACCTTGAACGTCATGAGCTTTACAAAATTGAATTTTTTCTTCTTCTTGTAAATTGGCACTTTGAACAAATTCTTTTAATTTTATGTCAATAGATGTCATTGCGGAAGGGTATTTAGCATTAATATACACTGGTACATTATTTTTAATGTAGTCCAACAAACCAACTAAGAACAAGACTTTTTGTCAGCTATGAAATGTTATTGACTTACCCCAGTTTTTTGTTTCTTCAGAATACCATAGTTGATAAAAAGGCATTTTAGAATTTTGCAAAGAATATAACTGAACTTCAGCAAGAGGTACCAGTAATATAATAATAATCTATAAATATGGATAGATGCATCAAAATCAAATTATTTTTACATAAATCAATAATAAATTTATTTCTACATTTGTAAATAATGGAACTAAATATATATAAATATATATATAAATCAATTTTTTTTCTTTTTCGAGTTTCTTATATTTCTTGCAATGCAACATGTTAAGCCTTCTAATAATTGACTTGCATTAATTGTAGTTTTGTCATACAGAACATATAATTTATTTATACGTTCTTGATAAGCAATTTGTCGAGCTGTAACATTAGCTTTTTTTTGAACACCTGTACGTATCAGAACCATTTTTTGGTATGCATGATATTCTTCGTCAATAAATGTAGATATTACTTTCCATACATTAGCATGAACTTCATTTAGTCTACGGGAAAAACGATTGTGAAATCCTATTAAAAGAATAAATTATTCTTCTATTATCAAATCAGTTTGGAACGAAAACTACCTTATGGGTTCTACGATAGTAGCTTTCTCAAAGAGAACTCATACCTTCTGCTAAATTGTTGGTGCGATGTTGAAGTCCTTGAACACAAAACATTGCAGGTGTAACTGTATTAATCCAATACTGTTCGAAATAATTTAATAAAACATGTAAGATTTCACATAATCTAATTTCTTCACGAGCAGCTTCACATTGATCTGAATCATTAGCTGTTCTTTTGAGCTTCTTCGCTTTTTTTAAACGTTCATCGACCAGGCTAACAATTTGATCAAATTGGTCATTTACTAAGTGTTGATACAATAGTGGTAGGGCCATCAGAGATTTCACAACAGTTCGTACCCAAACTGTTGAATTATACGGCACTTGTAAACCTATTTCTTGCACTTTTCTGTATATAGCCTGACATGTATGGAAGTAACATCCAACGTGTCGAGTGGCATTATTTGAATACTAAATAAGCAATTAAAGATAGAGCCAATAGTGATATTGCAATGAACTTACAACTTGTTTTATTACTTCAACGAATCCACTTTCGTAATCAGACATAATCAAAGAAGGTGCAAATTTTTTTTTCATCTTTTCAGCAACTGATTTTAATTTTCCTAAAATCGCGTCATATGTTTCGCTATTTTTGTGACTACATATAGTAAAGACGCAAGGAAATGCTAAAGATAACAGATAAATTTCAAAATTAATAGAAGATAGTTTTAAATAATTTACATTCTTCTTCATAAATCGCATGTATGGTATAAATTTGTTTGAATTGTGGTGGTGAAGAAGCAAATGTGCCATCACAAAAAATAATTTCTGAATCGAACAAAATCTGAAGTTGTCGATCAGAGGAATAAATCAAAATACGATCAAATGCCGGACTATTACAATCAGCAAGTAAATATTGTTCTGAATTTGCATTCAGTTGAAACCACATTGGTATATCGAATTGAGATGCTTTTGGTATTCCTGGAATTGTACTTGCACGTGCCAAATATAATGCAGACTCTATGAAAAAAATACTCTTCATAATTATATGACCTCAAACATGATATGCTACACTTTTACAGTTTTCCGAAATCAAGTACTTTTTTATTCTGTGTTTGAATTAGTTTCCTCAAAGTAAAATTAAAGCTGTCTTTTAAACATCAGATGTATATTATTAAAAAAAGATGTCAAAACGTGAATTTACTTATAATTTTAAATGCTGGCATAAGAGCTAATTGACTTTGTGTGAGTTTGGCACGTGCTACTTCGAATTCATAAACGAAGACAGCAGATAAATGTTCATTCATAACTCGATAACGAATTTTCGATATTAATTTATGAATCAAAATTTCATCAGGATCTGGAAGATGGTTATGTTCAACTTTGTTATGTTTTAAATAAACGTCGTCAGATGTTGTATGTACATATACTCCACAATTGTCACCATCTTCACATCGCCAATATTTTTTATTCTTTGTTACTTGATTTAAAACATATCTGTATCCATTACAAACTAAAATTTTCTTGCTCTTTGTTGATAAAATAAATTCTAATACACAATTATTTACTGATGCTGCTTTAGCCATAGGAAATATAAATATGTTCAAACAAATAACGATTTCTAATTTTTATACACAACGTCTTTTTTCCACAATTCTTTGTTTTCTCAAACCAATCTAACGNTTCCTCAAAGTAAAATTAAAGCTGTCTTTTAAACATCAGATGTATATTATTAAAAAAAGATGTCAAAACGTGAATTTACTTATAATTTTAAATGCTGGCATAATAGCTAATTGACTTTGTGTGAGATTGGCACGTGCTACTTCGAATTCATAAATGAAGACAGCAGATAAATGTTCATTCATAACTCGATAACGAATTTTCGATATTAATTTATTAATCAAAATTTCATCAGGATCTGGAAGATGGTTGTGTTCAACTTTGTTATGTTTTAAATAAACGTCTTCAGATGTTGTATGTACATATGCTCCACAATTGTCACCATCTTCACATCGCCAATATTTTTTATTCATTGTTACTTGATTTAAAACATATCTGTATCCATTACAAACTAAAATTTTCTTGCTCTTTGTTGATAAAATAAATTCTAATACACAATTATTTACTGATGCTGCTTTAGCCATAGGAAATATAAATATGTTCAAACAAATAACGATTTCTAATTTTTATACACAACGTCTTTTTTCCACAATTCTTTGTTTTCTCAAACCAATCTAACGAATCCTCAACTGTTAACCTCTACCAGAGTATAAAGATTATACTGACACCACACATCTTTTTACGTACAAATTAGGACGAATAAATATTCTTCTGGTGGCATCTATTTAACCAATGAATAAATTTTATTAGTATGATAACTAACTCAGTTGGTTACCAACTCAGATGGCTACCAACTCAGATGGCTGCCAACTCAGTTGGCTGCCAACTCAGATGGCTACCAACTCAGATGGCTGCCAACTCAGATGGCTACCAACTCAGATGGCTGCCAACTCAGATGGCTACCAACTCAGATGGCTACCAACTCAGATGGCTGCCAACTCAGTTGGCTGCCAACTCAGATGGCTACCAACTCAGATGGCTACCAACTGACTTGGTAGTCAATTTAACTGACATGGAAGTCATCTCAAGTGGGACTTAACTGACTTGATGTGATCGATTAATTGCTCCAGTAGAATTGTTGTATACATGATTAAATTCAGCTTATATTTGTTTTCGGTGACCAAATTCTTTCGGCGAAAATAGAATCGGAGAACTTTTTTTTCGGCGAATTTCCTTCGGTAAAATTTTCTTTTCGGCGAAATTCGTCTTCGGCGAAAAATTTTTTCGGCGAAAATGGAATATACCGAGGCGTGGGCATTGCACATTGTTTTCGTTGACACCTGCGAAAAGTTCACATCGGGCTTTCTCGAGTGGAGAATTTGTTACGCGGTCATTTGCGTTCGCGCTTTGACCATTCTCATTTAATCAATATGAATACTTTCAAAACATGAGTTTAATAAAGTGTTACACGTTAAAAATGCTGTTAACGCGATCTCTGTGGAAGTAAAATGTGAAGCATGATGCAACTATCGTTTCTAATCCTCTACAAACTGATCTTTTTGATGTACACTGGAGCATATTTCTTACATTACAGTACAGAACTTCAGCAAAGCAATACTCTATATATATTT